AGTTCATAGACGCAGTGGTTTAGCTTTCATATTGGATTGGGCTTTGGGAAGAGGAAGGGGTAGAGAGAAGATACCACAGAGAATCCACAAGTGATAAGACATTCAGTTCTGTTACCATGGCACCTGGAAACGCCAGTCACCTCCTCCCTGCCTGACTACATCTCAGGAGCTGACAGCGTTGAGTTAACGGATGGTGACATCGTTGTGGGGTGACTTTATTGGTATTTTTAAATAGACGGGGACAGGCTGTGTGTGGGTGGGAGAGTGGGCATGTAGCCACCTTGTGTAGAGGCAGAGTCCACATTTCTCCATCAGTGTCAGAGATCCTCAACATACGTCAGGGCAGACTTCGTGAGCACGAAGACACACCAACGCAACGCTTGTAGTCAATGTAAACAAACTACTCCAAGACCACATACAGTATAACCTCCATACATGACCTACACCCTACAGCTGCCCAGCTTGATTCAATCTCTGCCATGACATATGCTTGAACATAGTAATTATAAGCTAGTTAAAGGAAGAGGGGCTTGGGGTGTTTGGCTACCTTACAACGGCGTGAAGTGATTTGCAGGGTCACAGTACGGCTGTGTGTGTACTGGCCGCACACTAACACCAGCCTAGATGTGTGTGTACTGGCCGCACACTAACACCAGCCTAGATGTGTGTGTACTGGCCGCACACTAACACCAGCCTAGATGTGTGTGTACTGGCCGCACACTAACACCAGCCTAGACTTTAAAGACGGTGTATGTTGGCCAGAATGACTATAGTCCAAAGGTTTTCCTGACAGTCATGAACTTTATAATGTTCTTACAGTAATAAGGCTAATTAACCAAGCTCTTATCCAGGACTAAGAGGGGGAGGAAGGAAAGGTTGACCTGTGTTAGGGAAGGCATCATGGAGACCACTGAGACCCAAAGACTCCTGTTACATATCCAGTATCACACATTATGAATGAGTTCCATTGTTATTTCCATATAGCTTAGCGGGGGAAAAGTATTAAATCACACACAGTGAAACTCACAAGGCAATGAAAGCACATTTTCTCTATTGAAATTGTGAAAGAGATCTGCATAAGTGTATTCAAAAAACTATTTAAATAAGTGTAATTTGCGACCGAGGCTGTATTGCAGAGACAAAGAAGTGAAAAATAAATCTCTATACAGCACTGTGCAACCTCTCTCAACATGAAGAGAAAAGTATATTATGCTTAAACACTCCCATCAACCCATTTGCTCCATTCCCCTCACGACAGCAATAATACTATCGACACACCACCCGTGGCTAGCGCAGCAGGACAAACAGACAAACAACTCACCCGATTTGAGAGAGAGATAAGTCACATGGGCACTTATCGCAAATTAACACTCACTCAAGAGTGAAGTTAAGGCTTAATTCAAATTATTTCATTAGCTATAATCCAGCCAGCAAGAGACATCATATCATGTTCTCATGGAAGTGTTGTTCTTCTAATGTGAAACTAGCATTTTATTGTGATGACACAGTTATTCCCTGTCCTTGCATTAGCCTCAGTGTGAAAGTGTTTCAGTCAAAGTCCTGTTGGGGGTTTGGGTTTGGCTCTGGCTTAAGAGCTGATGGTGAGGCAGGCTATGGAGTGAGCTGCTAGTAGGAGTTGGGGTTGTGGTGGATGGGTGGATAAGAGGTTGAAAAGCAACAAGCTAATTATTGAGAGTAGAAGTGGGGGTAGACCACTGGGCAAAAACAGGTTAAATCAACATTGTTTCCACGTCATTTCAACCCAAAACATCTATGTGGTGACGTTGAATCAACTTGGAAAACTATTTAGATTTGCAAAAAGTCATCAATGTAAGGGCTGTCTTTTTTCACCCAACTTTTAACCTAAATCCAATGACATTGCAATTATAATTTTTTTCATGTTGAATTCTTGTTAGATGACAACTCAACCAAACGTTGAACTGACGTCTGTACCCAGTGGAAGGATGGCGAGAAGAGCAAGTGATAGTGAGGAAAGAGGGAAAGAGAGTCTAGGAGCCAGAGACAGCCCAGCTGTGGGAATGTGAGGGAGTGAGGTGACAGCTAGTCATCCACCATGGGGTCTTGGAGGGTGTCACCTCAACCCAGACAGAGAGACACAACTGAGACTGACACCTCTGTAGTTCCCCTGTAGGGGTCCTTTTCAGTCTCAGCCTAACACACACTAGCAAACAGCCTAGTCTCACTCATTCTGTCTGTCTCTGTGCCACATCCTGTCTTTCTCTCACTCTAGTGCTTTGCTGGAAGTGACAGTTACAGAGTTGGGTTCTTGGGAACGGTAAGGAGCATCACACACAATCAGAATGAAACAGTGTAATTCAAGCATGACAAGAAATTGGAACAGAATAATTGCCAGAGTTAAATCTGCACATTTAAAAAGACGTAAACATGTTTACCTTTTTGTTAGATAAGTAGTTGTATTGTTAATGTGGCTAATAGACACACTGCCATATTGCTGTCATACACTGTACACTTGACATTTGCCTTTTTTTCTTCAGTAATGCGAAATAACGTGAGTTAAACTCCTTTTAAAAAATTCAAGCGATTTGACTTGTACGGTTAGTGCTCACCTTCTTATACAGTATATGCATGTATATATGTATATATAAATATACATCTTTATGACCTGTGCTAGGCAGAAATTCTCTGGATGAGCATGCTCTGGTCCAGAATGCACTGTGGCAGGTGAGGTCACTTCCAACCTGGGCCACTCCCACCACACTGCTGGTCCTTCCCCTTCCTCCCCGCCCCACCCCATCCTGCCCAGTCACACCCACCCACACCCACACCCTCTTACAAAGCCCCTTGCTGAATAACTATTTCAGAGTTCATGAGAAAAGTGCACTCCAGCAGAGGAGGGATATCCTACAATAGCAGGCGTTTCTCTTATCTTCTCAAAGCAGATCCTCGCTTTAAAACAGCCACAGGCATGTCTAAAACAGTGCTCTATTTAGGCAAAATAAATAATTTAAAATTAAAACAAATAAGCATTGAGATACATTTTGTAATGGTCATTGTAGTCAAAGTGAGGACATCAACAGTCACTGCTAGGGAGCATGGGGAGATATCCATGAAGTTCATCACTACCCTACATACAGTACAACGGTCAGAATTAATGCTCTCTCTGCCTGCTCAGATCCTATGTCACTGTGGTACACTGTTCACTGGAAATTCATATATTTTTTTAATTGACAAAAGTAAGACTACAGCATAACATTATTGCAAAAAATATGGCAACATAATTTTCTGACAGGTTATTCTATTTTCATACAGATTCTAGTCTTGACTTCCTGCTGTGCGGCTGACTCTTAACTCAGGCTTACAGTATGAACAGGCAGTGAAATGCTCATTCCATCTCTCTCTGCTGCAGCAACTCTCTTCCAGCTAACTCTGTAAACATAAATACCCCCCTTCTTCTTCCCAATCTGGCAACCCCTTACATTATCCTCACTGTTTCTCCCTGGCTATAGTCACTCTTTCATTCTAATGTCCTTAGCAAAGCCAGCTCCCCGCATAAGGCTGCACATGGGTCAAACAAGCAATGGATCTCATGTTTGAGACTCACAATGACTAGTACAGCAGCTTACCATCCCCCTCTTTACATAAATGTTATGTTTTAAATAAATCCGTTTTTGGAATTCAACCTCTTCAGCACGGACCCATTGTACATAGCCATGCCCCCAATCCCGTATCCTTCCGTTTCCATTTCCCACCTTTCTTTATTACTTCCTTATTCGCTCTTCTTCTCTCACCAATTGACCTGCTTCACTCACTGGTCTGTGGCACGCAGCAGCACCACCGCATGACAACCAAATGTCTCACTCCCCCAGCACCCTCATCTCATCACATAGCATGACCACACTGACTCCTAGTGGTCACACTAGAAATTAACCTTCAAAGTGCTTCAGTTTTCTATGATTTTTCTGTATTTTAACACATCAGACAAGGACTTGAGAAAAAGCTAGGGCCAAAGTTAGACAGCCACTGTCATATATACTTGAGCATGCCTGATGATTGCCTGCAAGTACAAAAATAAGACAACCTAGACCTAAGATAACAGCTTCTATTTCTCCTCCACTCCGCAAACAGAAAATAAAACACATTTATTGCTCCATTTCTTATTAACATGTTCTCTCTGGATTTAGAAAATATATAAGCCTGGCTTAATTTTGTAGTTTCTCATACAGTGGTAACAGGAAATCAAATGTCACAATAAAAACAGTCCACTGAGCACAGACGTCAATTCAATGTCTATTCCACGTTGGTCCAACGTAATTTCATTAAAATGACTTGGAAACAACATTGAATTAACCAGTGTGTGCCCAGTGGGAGGGTAACAACTAACGACACAGAGGAGAGAAGCCCCACCCTCAAATACAACCAGCTGACCTGCAGCAGAACTCTGCCCACCTCTTACACACACACACACACACACACTCTGTTAGCCATGGTTTAAAGCTAACATTGCGTTGTCAAAGCCTTGTGGCCTGAGCCAAAGGGAGAGGGAGAGATGGAGTCCCCAATGTCCTCACTTTTCATCTGTCTCTCTGCCACCTGCTGCCCTTTGCTTTACTCTAGAATGGGGGGGTAAGAGGTTGGGTGAGGAGTGGGGGGTTGTGGGAGGAGGTGGAGAGGGTGGCTGGAAGTCCAGGTCCCTATAAACAGTCTCTCTCTCTCTCAGCAGTCAGTCCAGTCCAGACAGTCTCTATATACAGTCTGAGGATCCCGTGGTGATGGTGGTGTTAATAAAACAAACATGCGTCCAGACACGCTAGAGTTATAGTGGCCAGAGCCTGTCATTGTTATTCATTATTTACTTTTTAATTATCAGCATTATTATTGTTATTTATCATTTACTTCTAATTCAACTTCTTTTTTTTTGTTGTCATATTTACTTCTTTACTACAGAGTCAGTACTGTATGTAGTGGTTGGGGCACCTCAGTGGGTGCAGGCTACGCTCCCTCCGCTCCGCTGTGGGCCATCACAAAATCCTGGGCGCTGACCTATCGTTGGAGACGGTCTTGCGGAGGCGCACGCCCCTGCGGATGGACACCAGCACGTCGGTGCCTGACCCGGGGGCCTGGGGGTCATGCTGGGGGGCCGGGCCAGGCGGGGGGTCATCAGGGAGGTTGGGGAAGGGGAACTGTCCCTCCCCAAGGGCATGGGCACTGGCAACCAGCTCTCCTATCTTCTCCACCAGGCTGTGGCGGTTAGCGGCTATCATCTGGTCCTCCTCAGAGCCATGCTGGGCAGCCTGCTGGACATACACACTCATCTCCATCGCTCCCCCAGACCCCCACGCTGTGTTGGGCAGGCTCAGACGCTTGGGAGAGGCCTTCACAAACTCCAGCACGTTGGGGGAGGAGTCATCTGCCACGTAGAACACACACTCCTCACTGCCCACGCGTACCGGAGGCCCGGGGTACCCCCCAGGAGCATCAGGCACCGTGGGTGTCTTCACTGGCACTATGGGCGGGCGGATGGGGATGGGGCCTGCGTTGGACAGGGTGCGCCTCACACCCGGCTTGGTGGATGGGGTTCGGCGGATGGTGGCAGTCCCAGGGGTCCCAATGCCCCCTCCCCCTCCAGGCACTCCGCCTTGGGCCCCACTGGGCAGACCTGCAGTGCTGGCCGGCCTCTTGGTCTGGATCATACGGCGGTAGTTCTGGGCGATGTTGCTGTGGCGGGGGATGGTGGAGGACTTGTCAAAGTCAGTTGACGCCTCACCTTCAGCATCTCCATTCACAGAGTAGCAGTCATAATCTGACCCTGGGGGAGAGAGAAAGATAGAGGGGTGTGGTGTGTTATTCAGCGTTGTATCTAGGTGGAGTGCTACCAAGTAAGGGGATGGGGGCGTGGATACTCTTAAGTTGTGAGTGTGTCTATTAGGAGGTTGAGTACTGCATGTATGCTGTGTTGTCATGTGTTGCTGCCATAAATAAATACAATAAATGTATTATTCTGTTGGGGCTGGTTCTATAGTACATGTATGTTACCTTGAAAGAGGACAGTGAGTGTATTCTCTGTTGGTTAATGTATGTGAGGTTTTACTCTATGAGAGAAGGAGTTACCCTGAGAGGGGATAGTGTCCTCGGAGCAGGAGGGGGTGGTGGTCTGGGTGCTGTAGCCACTAGAGTACTGCAGGGAGTCCCTGTTGCTCTTCTGCTGCTCCATGCTGAGACCACGGGTCAGGACCATTGCCAGGTCACTGGCTGCTGGAGACACCTCTTCACCGTGCTGGGAGGAAGCAACAACACACACTTAACACACTCTCTACACTGTAGAGAAATATGATTAGGATGATAACTAAGTCCAAGGTTTTCAGAACCGTATTGCAATCAATAGCCTTAGCAAACGCTATCATACGGTAGGAGCACAGGACCACTACCAAGCACAATGGACAGACTATAACTACCAAAGTCCAATCCGGTTTAAAAATCCAACAGTTGTGTGATAGCAGCATGCGTCTTGTATTCACACCATTGTAAGGTAAATCTGCATATTCTCTGTTACCTTGGCAGCGATGGTGGCTGGGGTCATCCGGGGCCTCTGGACATCATCTGGGTGAGCACCAGCATATCCCTGGGAGCCTGGGGATGCCTCGCTCTCCCTCAGCCTATCCAGGGGCTCCTTCCTCCGCTGAAGCGTGGCAGCCAATGGCTGCTCATAAGAACCTACCTTGGACCAATCCTGAAGAGGTGGGTGTGGTTAATAAGAAGCAGGGAAAAGCAACAGAGCGAACTCTCCAATGAGAGAGACCCGTCCACTATCCAGCAGTTTGACGCCCTTCATCTGGGTACAGTGTGGGGGTAGTGTGGGGGGGATTCCTCATCGTGTGTGTGGGTTTATTGGTTTGAAGCCTTTTGAGTTTGTTAGGCTTCGAAAGGTGAAATGGGTGCCATCCATGGCCTGCTCAGTTTAGCAAATCACCATACAGGAGATTTGAAACCAGGGGTGAGACTGATGGCCAACGACAACAGAAAAGGCACACAGGTTAGGGAGCAAAGTAATGAAGTCATGAGTGAGTTAAGCAGATGGTGAAATTAAAAGAAAAACCTGGTGAATAGGCATTAACTCAAGAAGCACAAATTATACCACAAACCAAAAAAGAAAAAACAAACCAAAAACTGCAAAGAAAAGTGTGCAGATGAAAACAAACCTTCCAGCAAGGAACCTTTGATGTGGGAGAGGTAGTGTTGGATCCAGGGGAGCAGTTATAGGGTGGGGACGCAGGAAGTATGACAGAGAGAGGTCTGATGGAGCCAGTGTGAGAGAGAGCAGGGCGGAAGGTAGCGAAGGACGAGCCAAACTGCGGAACGGAGAGACAAGATCGTGATCGTCAGAGCGTCCATCAACACCAAAGGCTTATGGGAGGAGCCTTTGTGATGTGACCTCTGGGTCACAGAGACATTCTGTACATACACACACACGCACACAGGTGCATGCACGCAAGTACGTGCATGTGCACTCCCAAACACACACATACACAAACTGTACGAGTAGCAGAAGAAAGGACTGCAAAGTCAAGAGATCAGCGGTGATAGAGCAGATGACCACAAGTTCACCTGGGCTGATGAAGAACACATACTTAGGGAGACAATCCTGCTGGTCAGTTTTACCAGCTTCTCTCATAAACATATACAGTACAACATTACAGTATGCAATACACAGACAACTAAAATGAGCATGGCTATAGTGTATTCACATTATTTTCCGAAGTCAGTTAATCGTGTGACTGACTGACAGAAATGTGAGATTGATATTCTGATCATGTATTCCAATATGTTTGCACACATTAGGACAGGAGTGTGAGGTAGGTAGCTGTTGTACTTACCGTTGTGGGAGAGCTGCACTCACTGACTGACTGGCAGGTCTCGGATGCCTCTGAGGATGCAGAACTTGATGACTTCTGCAGAAGGAAATAGAGGTCAAGAAAGAGACAGAATGAACGCAAAACCAAGTCAGAAGAGTAGAGGAATTTAAACCAAGGAGAGGGCTCTGCTACGTTTCAGCACTGCAGCGACATCTGTGATGGCAGTCATACCTGGCTGGTGATGTCAGAGGGCATGGGCGAGGGAGGCTTGGAGTAGACATTGGCGTCCTGCGATATGAAGCCTGAGTCATGGGAGGAGACGCTGCTGAGACGGTGAGCGTTCCCCGGTGGCGGCTGGGCCAGGCTGCGGTAGCGATAGGACGAACTGGGTGAGTGAGTCTGAGAGCCTCCGGAGGAGCGAGAGGCGCTACTGTGGGCGCTGTTCACACTGCTGCAGGGGGGTGGGGCCAGAGTGAGAGGGTGGTGAGGGGGCAGGGGAAAGGGTCAGGCAGGGTGAAGGGAAGTGTTTAAGGGAGGGGGATATCATATAAACCACATTTATGAAGCACGAGGTGGAGAAGGTAGGAGATTGAATGAGGATGTGTAGTGATGGATATGGGGAGAGAGTGATGAAGTGAGATGAAACGGGGAAAAGGAGGGAGATTGATGGTAGCGAGTTACAGTGAAGTATGGGCCAGAGGAGCAGAACAAGCAATGGGTAGAGTTCATATGAGAGAGACGGGTAGTTTATATGATGGGTAGAGTTCATATAAGAGAGACAGGTAGTTTATATGATGGGTAGAGTTCATATAAGAGAGACATGTAGTTTATATGATGGTTAGAGTTCATGTAAGAGAGACAGGTAGTTTATATGATGGTTAGAGTTCATATAAGAGAGACAGGTAGTTTATATGATGGGTAGAGGTTAAGATGAGGACATTTCCAAGTTGGAGTTGGAAGTAGAGAGCAGCAGCAGTGAAAGAGGGGAACCCAACCAGAATAGGGGGGAAGGAGGCACAGAGAGTGGAGAAGCCAAACACACAGGAAGAGAAAGAGGCCGTGCAAATACAGAGGAATAGGAAGTGATCAAACCACAGGAAATAGAGAAGAGGCCAAACACATAGAACACCAAGGGTAAGTATGAATGCAGAGTGGAGAGGTTGGGAGACACACACACATAGAGGGATGGTGATAGCCATGTTAAGGATGGAGGGGGGTCAGAGGTAGAGGGTTGGGAAGGGAGAGGAGGAGGGAACATGGAAGAGACAAGTTGAGAGAGGGTGAGAACATGTGAGAACCAAGCATGGGTAGATTAGACACACAGGGCACAGGGCAGGGTAGTTGGCATGCCCAAAGACATGGCCTCCCAGACAGTGACACAAGCGACACACACACAAACACACAGTATACACAAACACAGACAAGTAGACCATGCCACCACATCAGAGCACTATTGTGACAAGCCTGAGAGATACTTCTTCAGAATAGAGGACACCACTTCAGACCTAACAAGTGTCCTACTTCATCACACATGTCAATAAGTTTGTTTGACTCAGTGCTCAGTTTGAGTTTTTTTGAAATACACTCCATAACATTGTAATATAAATGTTATGTGCTATTTGTTATCATCAAACAAGTCTGTTTTAAGTTGAAATAAAGTTGTAATTTTCACCACTAAGAGAAAAAAGACAGGGGAAAACATTTAGTGCTCTGAGTGTTGCATGCCACATGGCGCCATCTGTGATTAAACTCTGTGAGGACAGACGACACAGGACGACACAACAGACATATGGACCAGCAGACAGATGCTCAGACGCTCATACAGACATGCGCAGACATGCAAGGGTGCCTCTTTTACTAAGATACAACACTTATCTGAACAGCACCTCTCACTGACACACTTTCACTGTCACTTTTATTGTCAGAATACTGTATGTGTACACTCACATAGCCTACAACATACAGTTGAAGTCGGAAGTTTACATACACCTTAGCCAAATACATTTAATCTCAGTTTTTCACAATTCCTGACATTTAATCCTAGTAAAAATTCAGTGTCTTAGGTCAGTTAGGATCACCACTTTATTTTAAGAATGTGAAATGTCAGAATAATAGTAGAGAGAATTATTTATTTAAGCTTTTATTTCTTTCATCACATTCCCAGTGGGTCAGAAGTTTACATACACTCAATTAGTATTTGGTAGCATTGCCTTTAAATTGTTTAACTTGGGTCAAACGTTTCGGGTAGCCTTCCACAAGCTTCCCACAATAGGTTGGGTGAATTTTGGCCCATTCCTCCTGACAGAACTGGTGTAACTGAGTCAGGTTTGTAGGCCTCCTTGCTCGCACACGCTTTTTCAGTTCTGCCCACACATTTTCTATAGGATTGAGGTCAGGGCTTTGTGATGGCCACTCCAATACCTTGACTTTGTTGTCCTTAAGCCATTTTGCCACAACTTTGGAAGTATGCTTGGGGTCATTGTCCATTTGGAAGACCCATTTGCGACCAAGCTTTAACTTCCTGACTGATGTCTTGAGATGTTGCTTCAATATATCCACATAATTTTCCTTCCTCATGATGCCATCTATTTTGTGAAGTGCACCAGTCCCTCCTGCAGCAAAGCACCCCCACAGCATGATGCTGCCACCCCCGTTCTTCACGGTTGGGATGTTGTTCTTCGGCTTGCAAGACCCCCCTTTTTCCTCCAAACATAACGAAGGTCATTATGGCCAAACAGTTCTATTTTTGTTTAATCAGACCAGAGGACTTTTCTCCAAAAAGCACGATCTTTGTCCCCATGTGCAGTTGCAAACCGTAGTCTGGCTTTTTTATGGCGGTTTTGGAGCAGTGGCTTCTTCCTTGCTGAGCGGCCTTTCAGGTTATGTTGATATAGGACTCATTTTACTGTAGATACTTTTGTACCTGTTTCCTCCAGCATCTTCACAAGGTCCTTTGCTGTTGTTCTGGGATTTATTTGCACTTTTCGCACCAAAGTACGTTAATCTCTAGGAGACAACGCGTCTCCTTCCTGAGCGGTATGACAGCTGCCGCTCAGAAGCTTCTAAATCCATGACATCATTTTCTGGAATTTTCCAAGCTGTTTAAAGGCATAGTCAACTTAGTGTATGTAAACTTCTGACCCACTGGAATTGTGATAGAGTGAATTATAAGTGTCATGCACAAAGTAGATGTCCTAACCGACTTGCCAAAACTATAGTTTGTTAACAAGAAATGTGTGTAGTGGTTGAAAAACAAGTTTTAATGACTCCAACCTAAGTGTATGTAAACTTCCGACTTCAACTGTATCATCCACACACCTAGGCTCAAAACAAAGAATCCCCCTTTATTGATCAAATCAAATGAATCCATGTCAATACAAATGTCTGTATTTCTAGTCCATGTGTCCTGTCTCCCTCAGGTTCGTACCTGCACATGCTGCTTTTCCTGGAGCCAGAGCTGCTGGGGGAGGAGGGAGGGGTCTGGTAGGACCAGCTGTAGTCTGAACCCTTCAGGTCTTTAATCACCTGGGAGAGAGAGAGGACAAACCAGTTGGCGCCATATAAGTGTTGTACCCCTGAAAGGGGGAAATATGAGAATGATTCATATGGACACGTAGCATCAGCTTTAGTTGCAATAAATGAGCTGGTAAGCTGCGTGCTCCCCCTATAGGAATTCATAGGCATTACTAACCAAACTCTGTACAAACAGACATCAATAGAGCACAGAGATCATATTATCACATTCAGATAAATGAATAGCATATTGCTTGCTGGTACACATTATGATGCTATTATTGTTATGGCACATTTTACTCTATCATACAAGCACTGTTTCATCTAGCATCTAATGACCTCTGTCTAGACGGTGGGACTGAGAGATGGTGCATTATACTAAAATACTAGACTAAAAATAATAAAAATATCTTAGAAAAGAGTGTCGGTACCTGCTCGCTGGCGGGGGGAAGTTTGTGGGGATCAGTGGTCAGCACAGTGAGGTCATCAATAATGGCCTGGAGGTGAGTGATCTCTCCCAGCATGGCAATCTCTCCATTCTGATGAAAGAAATTAGACTCATTTCAGTCAGTTAGTGTTATTATATATAGCAAAAGCATTGGCTTTATGTGAATGACTGCCACTGTTTTGACTCAACACCAGAGTGCAATGTCAACATATTTTACTGGTGGCTAATTGACTTTGTCGCCCAAGTTAGGTTTCCCCTCCTCCTGTTTCATCTTCAGTCTGGCCCAATCGCAAATCGTCCCCTAAACCCTTCACCCTGTGCACTTGTGGAGATTTGATAGGATTTGATTGGTATGAGCAACCTGGTAATAGCTCCACCTCGCCCTCTGATAGGCTAGATGGAAGTTTTACCATATTGCTTATACCAATCAAATCCTCTCAGATCTCCACAAGTGCATAAAGCGCAGGGTTTAAGGGATGATTTGGGATTGGCCCCATGTCTCACCCCAGCTCCCTGGTGTTTCCCCTCCCCATACAGCCCCTGCCTCCCCTCCTCCAGTCTTACCACTACAGGCTGCAGGAAGCCGATGAAGGTGCAGAAGCGTCCCCTCTCCTCCACCAGAGCTCTGCGCACCGCCTGCTTCTCTGTCTCCTCCATCAGCAGGTACATGTCATTTACATCATGCATGGCACTATCCAGCTGGGGCTGCAGGTCCCCTCGGCCTGGGGAGCCAGGAGGGAGAGCACAGGGGACAGGGGGACAGGGACAAGGGGCAGGGAAAGGGAAACAGAGGGCAGGGGCATAGTATACAGGGAGTGGGGGGGATTGGGAATGGAGAGAGAATGGAAGGAAGAGGACAGGGGATGGTAGAAGGACAAAAAGAGGAGAAGAGGGTAACAGAGAGGTCACAAGGAAAAACCAAAGTGTGACACACAAGAGAGAGGAGAAGGAGAGAAAGAAAAGATTAGAAATGTGTGGTGTGTCTGGGCTTGAAGGGACAAATCTCACCCCTCCCCTCCTCTCATCCCTCCCTTCTCGGTCCCCCAAGCCAATGACAGGCACCATGGACACAGGACAGAATGATCTACAAACACTACACTGGTACGGTATCTACATTAGCTAAACAGAAATGCATACAGACACTAAACAGACTGACATCTACAGAAGTTAAACCAAATAATGAAAAATGAAGGAAAAAAAGGTATGTCTTCAAAATGTCTTGTAATGTTAAGTCATGCAGCAGGGAGTTGTGTCAGAGATGGCCATGATAGAGAAGAGAGGGGGGAATCTTAGTCAACAGCAACCAGTGCTGTGAGCAGAAAGTGCTTTAGACCAACAAGTCATGCAGGAGTCACAGAGGTCACAGGACAGCATTCCAGAGGCCTCAGAAAGAAGACAGACTTTTAACGGTTACAACTAGTAGGCCTAACTAGCTGAAGATGAGTGAATCACGCCAAATGTATTAAAGTGATGTAAATCACTTAGTTATTTACTATCTCCCAATAGTAATTTTTTGGCAAGGGAAATCCCCTCTACACAGAATACATGTAAAGAAGAAACTGTAGCATAGCATAGCAGTTTTGTGGGACGGGAACAACATACTTACCCTGGATTTCTACAGAAGGGAAATCAAGCACAGACAGAGAGAGAGAGCGAGAAAGAGAGAGGGAGAGAGGAGGGGAGAGAAAAAGAGAAAGAGGAAGGGACAACAAAGATGGGTTGAGAGGAGGATTTGGGGGACATAGAGGGGGTCAGGGGGTTGACAGAGGTAGAGGAGAGAGAGCAGAGATTGTTGAGCTCATCATTAGGGTTAGTACAAGGAAGCCATCACAGCTCAGTTCACGGCCAAAGTGTGCATGGTTAGAGCAAAAACACTGTTGCAACCAAATCAAAACCAACTCAACCTTGTAAAGCAACCCAAACATCAATGTTCCACTGGTTTTAAGATGAAATACACCTCAGGTAATCATTTTAGGTTCTTGCATCTGCCTGGCAACTGTCTCGAAACAGCCTTAAATAGACAACAGTAATTATTGGCTGCTGGATCAGAGTGAACTGCTTTATCACGAATGAGGGAAGCCTGTCATTATCATCCTGACCACCAGGGGGGAGTGTTGCTCTATAACCTCAGTCTTCAATAACAGGGAGTGGAGCTATGTTCTCCGTCCCTCACTGCGGCTTCCCTCATCTCGCTCCCTCTCTGTAGTGATTTGAGGCAATGGCCCTTTTAAAGACCAAACTGTAATCGTCAACAAGCTACAAACACATGTCAGCTATGTGACTCTTGAGAAAACACATTGATGTAGTCAGAATGCCTTGGCAAAGGATCTCACCTTGAGGATTTGACCTTGACATTTTCAGCACTACTACTCCTACTGTAATATCATGCTGAAGGGGAGACACAGCTGAGACCATTACATAACAGAGAATGTCCGGGTTAACCTATAGTTATAGAACCCAAACAAAATGCACAACCTGCTGTGATTTCAGAGCGCTGGATAGACGGAGAGGGCAGTTTAGGAGTGTTCAGCCATGCTAGCTGTCAGTCAGAGAGCGACAGGGAGAGAGGGAAGAGGAGCAACCTACCTTTCCGGGCCTTCTTCTGCAGTTTCATGGTGTCTGAGGACTTCTTCTTGATCTCATGACGAGATCTCTTGTACTCTGGAGGAGAGACAGGGGACTGAATGTCAGCCATATTGATGCAGGAGACAGAGGGGAATATGATTGGCTAGAGGTACCCTGTGTGTGTCTCACCTGTTTCAATCATGGCCATCTATTCATCCCCCTCATTCATACTTGGCATATATCACTCCTCACCTCTCCACCATGTTAGCTGATGTGCGGTGAGCGTTCTGGCACAACAATGGTTGCCATGCATCACCCAGGTGGGTGCCACACATCGGTGGTGGATGAGGTGAGTTTCCCCCTTACTATGTAAAGCGCTTTGAGTACCTCAGCTAGTAGAAAGGTGCTACATAAATCCAATCCAATATTATTATTATTATTAATATTCACCTTTGGCATGGTCCTTATCCAGCTGGTTGGCTGTCTTCTTCCAATCCTCAATCCTGTCCTGGAGAGGAGTGATCAAGCTCTCCATCAGGGCACTGGGAGGACAGAAGGATGGAGAGAAAGAGAGAGGTACAATGGGTGTGTTAATTCATGGTTATAATAATGATTTTCTTATCCATTTAAATGTAACAATTTGGCTTCATCTGGTTCACATCATATGGAACATGTGGACAAAATGAGTCTGTGCCATGATAAATTCTAAAAATATGTGTTCTTATGAACCATGGAAAATATAAGCTCTAAGATATACGATTTTTGGAAAAGGAAGACGGTTATATAATTTTTGTGGTTCGTCCCACTTCACTATTTTTGGTATGTGGCACATATGCACACCGGATGAGCTGGGAGTCCTGTGGTGGAGTGTGGAAACTGCAGCCTCCCAGGTCGACCACTCACAGACTGACAGCACAGTGCTGATGTGGGCTTCAGCCCTGATTATAATGTGTGGCAATGTAAACGGGGGTGAGGAGACAGGTTTTAATGTGCCACCACGGGGTGAGGAAACTTTTGCTCCCAGAAATGCTTTGTAAGGAATGTAAATACCCCAACAAGACACCACCACCATCATCATCATCATCATCATGGTAATAGCCTCTGATTTGGAAAAGTCATTAGAGACTACAGACTTAATAGAAGGGATTCCTTTCTTTGAGGTTTACTGTATGGTCTAGAACAGAGCAGGCTGCTGCTGGTGGTTCCATTCATTTATCTTAAGTGTCTGAGAGAATAGTCTACAGATGTCCTATAATGAGGTGCTTGGGATTTGGGGAGAGGGGAGGGAGGGAGAGAAGAGGGAGGAGTGGAGGAGCGGAGGAAGGGGAGGGGGAGATGGAGGGTGTTAGTCCTCACATTCTGTTTTCTCCTCCCTCCTGTCTGCATCATACATTTTAGGGAGAGAATGTTCCAGTCTAGATAGCGTGTAGAATAACCATTCTGAGGTGATCCTGTGTCTAAATCACACTTACACAAGTATTCTGCCCTGCTATTTCCACTGTTACGAACCCCGTGGCTCTAAACGTCTAGGGTGGATGGACATGAGACCCGTAACATAAATTATGCAAATTATAAGTGTGACATGGAACAGTGAGAACCAAAAATGACACAACAACCATGAACTACCGTCAAACTTAAATGGTTTATTGCTAAACACACGGTAAAGGTTTGGGAAAAAGGGCTGAGCAGGACCCAAGAAATGAAACAATAGTGTAAAACCCCCTAAACTGATCTAGCCTGCCTAAAGAACCGCTAGGCTACTGCTACCATACAAAAATACAGTGGGTGGTCCGCTCAGGTCTAACTGGTGTTTATAGACAGATTTCTTCCTACGGGTAATGTACGCCCAAGGGCAACTAGCTTAAACTCCCCTTTTCCCAAAAACACACAAAGCTACTAAACAGGGTAATCAGCGATTAAATAAGTACACAGGATACAACAGTATCCACACTCAGGTAAAGAAATATATTCTAATAACGTTACCAACAGGGTAACCAACAACTTAGTGCGTACACAACACACAGGACACCACCGTGTCCATACTCACATATGGCAAAAAGTCTCTCTCTCCTGCAACAAACACAAGTCTGGTTTTTATAAAATGGGATGTGTGATTGAACAAACGAATAACAGGTGGTGCAATTAACAGGAATGTTCACTGATTGGTCCAATCAGCAGACACCTCAACGACCACCAATCAGGAACATACAGGACACCTGTGATTAGGGCAGAAGGAGAGAAACACACAAAAACACAGGATACCTGTATCCGTAACACTCCCACCCTTAAAAGAGCAAACCAAAATGGTTTGCGACACACGTACTATCACAACACCCAAAATTCAATAATCATCCTGCCGGGATAACAAAAAAAAACCTAGATCATTACACACGAGACAAAGCATCTGCCAACACATTATCTAACCCCTTTTTGTGGCGGATCTCCAAATTATAATTTTGCACGACAAGTGCCCAACGCATAAGGCGTTGGTTCTGGTTGTACATCCGGTGGAGAAAAACTAAGGGATTATGGTCAGTATACACTACCACTGGTAATGCACTGGAACCAACATAAACTTCAAAGTACTGCAGAGCTAACAACAAAGCTAGAGCTTCTTGTTCAATGGTGGAATAGTTTGTCTGACATTTGTTAAATTTCCGTGAAAAATAACAGACAGGATGGTCCACTCCACTCTGGTCTTGCTGCAGTAGAACAGCACCAGCACCTCTGGCACTTGCATCTACCTCCAGTTTAAACGGCCGCTCAAAATCTGGCGCAGCAAGAACAGGAGTACTACACAAGAGCGCTTTAGCAGTGTTGAAAGCAGTACAACAATCTTCAGACCATACAAATTTTCTCGCCGGACTGAGCAAATCCGTTAATGGAGCAACTACCGCAGAGAAATTTTTACAGAAACTACGGTAGTAGCCAACCATCCCTAAAAAACGGCGTAGCTCTCTTCTGGTGGTAGGTGCGGGAAATGCGTTTATAGCTGAGACCTTGGCATCTACAGGGCGCACCTGACCATGGCCGACCTGTTTACCAAGATAAGTAACAGTGGCCTTCCCAAACTCGCACTTTGCTAAGTTCAGGGTTAGAGAAGCGGTTGCTAGACGTTCACACACTACCCTTAGTGTTAACATGATCAGACCACTCAGTTGAATAAATTACCAGATCATCAAGGTAAGCACTACAATTAGGAACTCCAGCCAATACTGTGTTAACCAGGCGTTGGAAAGTGGCTGGTGCGTTCCGCATCCCAAATGCCATGACAGCATATTGTAGGAAGTGATCTGGGGTCACAAAGGCAGAGATGTCGGAGGCACGTGGGGTTAACGGCACCTGCCAGTAACCTTTTAGAAGATCTAATTTGGTTACATAAGTAGCAGCACCAACAGTATCAATACAGTTACCAGTTACTCGTGAGCAGCTGATCGCTAACCAACAGGTTGACATTAGTCTGGCTAAATGTTTTTCTAGTGTTGTCTCAGAGGACGAGCTAAAGAAGAAAAACATGGCATACTTCATTGATGGTAATCTCCTCATGCGTAAATGGACATCCCATGTTGACGCTGGCGGAGATTGGAATGCTGTTTACCAAATAGTGATTCCTACAGCCTTTCGACAAAATGTTTTATCCCTCGCTCATGATCACCAGTGGTCCGGACATCTGGGAGTCACCAAGACTTATGATCGAGTTTTGCGACATTTCTTTTGGCCTGGCTTAAAACAAGATGTGGCTCAGTTCTGTCGGACTTGCCACACCTGTCAAGTAGTTGGGAAACCGAACCAGGTTATTTCCCCCGCGCCTCTTTGTCCCATACCGGCCATAGGTGAACCATTCGAACATGTGATGGTTGATTGTGTTGGACCATTACCAAAAACAAAATCTGGTAACCAGTTTATGTTGACAATTATGTGTGTGGCCACCAGGTACCCAGAGGCCATTCCTCTGCGAAGGATTACTGCTCCAGTGGTGAGTAAAGCGTTGATCAAATTCTTCTCAACTTTTGGATTACCTAGGGTGATACAAACTGATCAGGGTACGAATTTCCTTTCTAAACTTTTCAAACAAGTGTTAAAATCCTTGTCAGTTACACACCGTGTGTCAAGCGCATATCACCCAGAGTCTCAGGGTGCGCTTGAACGTTGGCATCAGACCCTGAAGTCTATGCTCCGTAAATATTGCTTGGAATCTGAGAAAGATTGGGATGAGGGAGTTCCTCTAGTGTGGGTGGTCCGCTCAGGTCTAACTGGTGTTTATAGACAGATTTCTTCCTACGGGTAATGTACGCCCAAGGGCAACTAGCTTAAACTCCCCTTTTCCCAAAAACACACAAAGCTACTAAACAGGGTAATCAGCGATTAAATAAGTACACAGGATACAACAGTATCCACACTCAGGTAAAGAAATATATTCTAATAACGTTACCAACAGGGTAACCAACAACTTAGTGCGTACACAACACACAGGACACCACTGTGTCCATACTCACATATGGCAAAAAGTCTCTCTCTCCTGCAACAAACACAAGTCTGGTTTTTATAAAATGGGATGTGTGATTGAACAAACGAATAACAGGTGGTGCAATTAACAGGAATGTTCACTGATTGGTCCAATCAGCAGACACCTCAACGACCACCAATCAGGAACATACAGGACACCTGTGATTAGGGCAGAAGGAGAGAAACACACAAAAACACAGGATACCTGTATCCGTAACACTTCAGCAACAAGTTCCACATCCTTCTTCCTTTCTCTGGGCTGTTGGTCAGACTGCACCAGCTTACCAGAGGTAGCACCCGAACTATCCTCTGGGTCACACTCTCTGAATAGAATCGTGTCTGACAAATCTACCACTTCACCCACTTGTCGTGCTTGAGCACGTGTGACAGCACAAGCGGGGAACACATCTGGATAACCCTGTGCCAGCTCCTCGGAGAGAGACTGGTCACTTTTATCCAATACCTCCAATATGGGTATTACCTTTCCTCCGGCAATATCGTTGCCCATTATAAATGTCACACCTTTTACTGGGAACATAGGACGTACGCCCACTCTGAACAATCCACTGACTAACTCAGAGTGTACGTTCACAAAGTGCAATGGCACTGGGACAAATCCCATTT